TTTTTGTCTTTAGATTTTAAAAAATTGTAAAACAAAAATTTGCCCATCACACGAATCATATTCTAGTAAACTTAATTGTAAGATTTGATAGCCATAAAACAATACATAGTATGTATATATATGATTTTGGTAACGTATGCGCGGATCTCACATAGATTTGGATGATTAATTTATATCCGTTACAAAAGAACACCTCCACAAAAATTAAACTACACTATATTTCTCTAACATAAGTTATAGTACATTGAGAGACCAATTATTTATCCAATGTTAATGTAAAAATTTATTACAAATAAAAAAGTTATAGGTTATTTTGTCTTTTTCGTTGTTATTTCTATACTTTAATTAACAATTTAAAGGTTAATATTCATGATTAATATAATTATACTTGTCCGCACATTTAAAATTATATTAATATTAAATCAATAAAAGCAAAACAAAAAACCGGACATATAGTTATTTGATTATTTCAATATATTTTTTTGGGGTCTTTGGGTCTTTTTCATCATTATTATGATCAAATTGCTGCTTATCATCTATTTTCTTATCAACCTTTTTATTCTCATGCATATCCATAACTACGAAATCTGATAAGAGACGCATTTGCCTATGACTTGCCTTAATCATACCTTTTGCAAGATGATAACCAATAAAAATATACATAGTAGACAAGGAGACGTAGGCATAACCCTCAAAAGCAATTCCTATGCCATTACTCATGTTACATACACTTACCCGCTTTCTTTGAATAAAATTAATATTTTGATTGAAAAAAAAAACTATAGTTTAATCCTAAATGCATACTACCGAGAACTTAATGGCTGTCATTGCGGCATTTAAAAATTGAATCCTTAGGGAAACACATTAACACACTATGATGTTCAAGAAACAATCTAATCCAAAGCTAATTAAGCGGTTTTGAGTTCTACTAAATCCTATTGAAAACTAAAAACCGATATAAAGGACAATAAACTAAAGAGAGCTTTGAGCTGAAAGTTGAAACACACACATAAACAAATATAGAAACAAGTTATTTTAATAAAACGGATATTGGATGTGCACACTTGATGCACAAAAGTCAGAAGCTGATAGATAAATTATCTCCTAATTGTCATGCGACGAAACTATCTATCCACTTCCGGTTGAAGTATAACCCTCAAGTAGTTAATGATAACATTGCTGCTAACTAGAAAATTAGAAAATGTTAATAG